AGGAGAAGAAGAAAAAGAGGCTAGGGTTTTATTGATTCTGCATAATGTAATTGAATGAATAAAACCTAGATACAAAGAGACTATATATAGTCTAAAATAAAGAAAACTTAAAAGACTATTCTACCCTTAATAAATAATGTTAACAAAATAATCATATATTTCTTAACAGTCTTCTCTACATCGATATTACCAGGAAAGCATTGCCAGGAGCTGCATAGATGCATACTCGACTGGAACTGCATAACCTAGATTTGGCTGTCAACACGGATCAAGGGCAAAGAAATTTCTTCATGAAGCCACAGAAAGAGTTGCTTTAGCTTTTATAGCATTTCTCTGATTGAATGCTGCTTCAAATTCAGTGCGACTGCCATAGCTTTCTGCTAGAAGAGCTGAAACAAAGTCTGGATGTTGGCTGGGCACGTTTCACACAAAAGATTCGATCATCGATCTCTCTCCTTTCAAGTTGTACATTCCTTGTCATAATAAATTTGGCAGGAACTAAAGTTGCATTTTTATTTTTGAAAATATCGCTACAATTCAATGGAAATATTGTTAAAACTTAGGAAATGAGTTAATTCTTTATCTTTGAAATGATAATGTGATCTGTTATGCTACTAGCCTTCGCTAATTTTGTTTTAGAATTCACAAGTTTGAGTGGTGTTCATGGATGAAGTTTGTTAATAACGTCAACAAGCGTGGATTAATATTTTGTTGTAACAATAATATCGAACTTCTAAGTCTAATTGTTTAGAGTAATGCAATTCATTACCACTGATATTAAACATCGATTTGTGTGGCACTCTCAATTATATGACATTAAATGATAAATTGACTTAAATGCAATGTCATATGATTCATTTAATTGAACTAATCAGTTGTGACATTTAAACTGGCATTTTAACACCACTAGTGTTAGATAGCATTATTCAAAAGTTTTAACAAGTTAGAGTCAAGCACATGTTGAATTTATTTATTTATTTTTTTTTAATTAAGCATGTGACACGTGCAATTTATCTGGATGAGACTTGAATATGAAAATTTTGTTTTCATATCGTGTTGTATTATCTCGTTTAAAATGTAACTGCAAAGTCGAGATGACAATTTTGAAGTCTACACACAAGAAACGAGTAGAAGTATGAATGGTGCTAAATAGGAGGGTGACCTCAATTAAAATTGTGATGAATTTTAAAAATCCTTCTAAATTTAGGTGTCTTCAATTGAGATTTTAATGAATTTTAATGAAATTCATTAAAATTTAGGTGTCCCCAATTGAAATTTTAATGAAATCCTTCAAAATTTAGATATCCTCAATAACTGATAGATTTATAAAGATTTTATTAATGGATGAATTTTAAAAGATTTGGATGGATTTCAAGCTTAAAAATACATATAACCAATTCTTTTGAAATTCCTCATATTTAATGAAATTCTTATGAAATTTGTGGAAATTTATTCA